TAACAAAGAGTGAAAAATTTAAGGGGGTCTGAATACTTTCCGTACCCACTGTATATAGAAATATAACCGTTTTTTAATTTCTTTTTAAAAAAAAATCTTTTAAAATGTTTTTTATTCATGTGTCTTTGTCAAATCCCAATCATTAGCTCAGGGAATTAACAGTATCTGTACAACCAATCAGAGCACAAACATACCTGGAGACTCCGCCCCCTGCAAAGGAATCAGCCAGTCAAATGGGGAAAAGGAAGGAAAGAAGAAGTTATGCCCTGTGTGCCTACAGGTGCGCCCACCAAGGGCAGGGCACTGCAGAATCTGTGGGGCATGTGTCCTTCGAATGGACCACCACTGTGTTTGGTGGGTTTCTCATTCCTTCTTCTTTAAAAATTGAGTATGAGCACTTCATTCCTAGTGTGAAGTGAATTGAACATTATTTAAATATTCTCTAAATGACAAAACGATCTATCGTTATACTGCCATTCAAAAATATTAGTTTTTAGAAAAAGTCTCTTATGCTAACCAAGGCTGCATTTATTCAAAAATACAGTAAAACAGCAATATTGTGAGAGATATATATAGAAATATAACCGTTTTCTTTAAAAAAAAAAAATCTTTTAAAATGTTTTTTATTCATGTGATGGAAAAACTGAATTTTCAGCTTGTTAGTACTATTCCAGTCTTCAGTGTCACATGATTCATTGGAAATCATTCTAATATGCTGATTTGGTGCTCAATAAATATTTCTTATTATTATCAATGTTGGAAACAGTTGCTGTGCTTAATATTTTTATGGAAATACATTGCTTGATTATTTGAAAGTTCAAAAGAACAGCATTTATTAGAAATAGAAATTGTTTGTAATATTATAAAAGTCCTTACTTGTGATCAATTCAATGCATCCTTTCTGAAAAAAATGAATCATTTCTTTTTCAAAAATCTTTCCAACCCCAAATTTTTAAGTGGTAGTATATATATACATATATATGCGGATAGAACTGGATATGGGCAGGGCAGAAATCTGTTGTGTTTCAAAAGTAAATAAAAAGTCACTTTATGGATGTAACTTTATTCCATTTATAGGTTTTGTATAACAAATATGCCTTGTATAATTTATAAAAGTGTTTATTCTTATATTTTATTCTTTTTTATTATGATGTCTTTTACAAATAATTGTATTTACAAATGTAGACTTTTATAAATGATTATCATATAAAAAATTGTATTATTCAATAATTACTTTAAAACTTTTACATAAAATAAATATTCAAAATCTTAAAAAAGTTCTTTATGAATTGATGATTTATGATTTATGAACAATACTAGGAGAGAGAGCAATGTGGCCATCTGCTTTCATTCATAAAGTTCACATTTTAGCTTCATTTTAGTCATCTCGGTTTCACAGACTTACCATTTCATTGTGATTTTAGATGTTCATTAAAAATATCACTTTACGCTTGTGTTTGTTGGATAATCAGTCAACTGAATTTATTTTCTGTTGTTTCAAATATTCATTTTAATGTTGTTATTTGTGCCTTTCCTTATAAGATATTTGGCTTATTGCAAATCTCTGCTACAGAAATAGTTTAACAATTCCAAAATGAATTGTTTAAATTAGTGCTCATGCCAATGATTTGATTCATTTTCTGATCTTTTCACACTGGTATGCATGTGTTCCCTACCCCATCAGACACACACATATGTTCAAGCTGATTCCCAAAAGACGTCACTGGAGCAGGCAGGCTGGTGAGACATGTGCAAAGGCCACAGGAACACAGCTTTTAGCACAGTAAAGGGAGCTCTCACCAGGCCAATCTGTCTCCATGCTACTTCAACACACACAGGCACAAAAAAATATATATAAACATGCCATGAGCCACATAATTCTCATTAAAGCTACACTGACAAGAGAGAAAATAGTGTAACTGTTCTAAAATATTGAAAGGAAATGTCTGTAAGTGTGTTTAAGTGGCTGCTTATTATTTGTGTCTTTCTATGTATATGACTTTCCATGACAGGATGAACAGCTGTGTAGGTCAAGCCAATCACAGGCAGTTCATTTTGACGCTCCTTCTTTTCCTGGTGACATCGTTCTATGGGATCAGTTTGGTGTTACGGAGTGTTTGTCCACGACAGAGTCTAGTCACAGCCATGTTATACTGCCCTGGAGTCTATAACCAATACAGGTACACCATCCATTACTTTATATATGTATTTAATGGAAAATATGCACATACACAGTATGTTTTCAGCCTAATGTAACACTTTTGTGTGTGTTTGTGTGTGTAGCACAGCGCTGTGCTTTACATGTGTGTGGTACAGCGTTCTCATAACAGGCGGTCTGCTCCACCTGTTCATCCTTCAGATCATCAATGTCAGTTACAACGTAACAGAACGCGAAGCTCAGATTACTTTGCGCAACAAAACTGGCAGACGACGCTTCTGTGGCCTGGTTGTGGAGACTGGCATGTATTCACGAGGCTTCCTCCAGAACTGGATTCAGTTCCTCACAATGAACACGGATGAGAACGGTTCCCCTTTCACCTTCACAGTCATGGTATGAGTCAAGGGACTATAGACATGATCCTGGGTGGTATTTAAACTATAATTATACAAAATGTTAAACAACTAAGCATCTGGTTAGTCCTAAAGAGTTGGTCGACACATTTACCTTGTTTTCATCTGGTAGAATGTTTAAATTGATGAGCAAACATATTTTTTAGATTTTTATTCCAGTGGTCATCTGTATGGACATATTGAATTGGGTTCAATGTGATATGTGACCACAGCCATGTTTTCATGAAATATAACAAAACTCTGCAACTTTATGGCATAAATAACCAAACTGTATGAATGAAACATGCTTAAGTGAAGGGCAACTTTGTAATCTGAGTTGCAATCAAGTGAGTGTGTGTGTGTGTGTTTTTTTTAATGACTAGTGTAAGAAATATTAAGAAAACTTGATATGATGATAGAACCGAGAAAATAAATGTGACATCCTGAAATATTCCTGCATTAAGAAATTTAAAAGTGATTATTAGATATATTTAGGATTGAGCTAAATATTTTAAAGGGGTAGTTCACCTGAATTTCCCCCCCCCATCCTTTACTCACCCTCATGTTGTTTCAAAGTTCTCTTGATATTTCATAACTATCAGTTAGGACAGGGACGTTGAATAGGAAGAGACAATGTACAATTTTTTTTCTAGAATTTTTATTTTTGGGGTGAACTATCTCTTTAAATCTGAAAAGATTACTTAAGAAGTTTTATCAGCCTGTCAAATGCTAATAATACAAAAAATACATTTTACACCAAATGTATAAATCCTTGTAATTGTAAATATGCTGCTACCTTTGTAGTGTGCTCTCTCAGGACAAATGATGTTGTATGAAATGATGTAATTACAGGTTTCTGTGTTCAGTGCTCACTGAACAGCAGTGTTAAATTATGCTGAGGTGTACTTCACAGTTCTGGATTGTCATCTTAAAAACTTGATATGATGATAGAACCGAGAAAATAAATGTGACATCCTGAAATATTCCTGCATTAAGAAATTTAAAAGTGATTATTAGATATATTTAGGATTGAGCTAAATATTTTAAAGGGATAGTTCACCTGAATTTTTTCCCCCCATCCTTTACTCACCCTCATGTTGTTTCAAAGTTCTCTTGATATTTCATAACTATCAGTTAGGACAGGGACGTTGAATAGGAAGAGACAGTGTACAATTTTTTTTCTAGAATTTTTATTTTTGGGGTGAACTATCTCTTTAAATCTGAAAAGATTACTTAAGAAGTTTTATCAGCCTGTCAAATGCTAATAATACAAAAAATACATTTTACACCAAATGTATAAATCCTTGTAATTGTAAAAATGCTGCTACCTTTGTAGTGTGCTCTCTCAGGACAAATGATGTTGTATTAAATGATGTAATTACAGGTTTCTGTGTTCAGTGCTCACTGAACAGCAGTGTTAAGTTATGCTGAGGTGTACTTTACAGTTCTGGATTGTCATCTTAAATTAATGAGCTCTCATATGTGTAAAATTAATTAAATTAATTCTGGCATGCATAGTAAATAGACTGCCACTCGCTTTACTAAGAGTCATTAGTTGTGTTGATTACTGTGGAAGGGTCGTGAGTGACCTACCTTTGCAGATGAAAAAGACAGGAAGTGTTTTTAGAGCAATGCTGGCCCTCTTGCCTCTGTGCAACCACAATGTAGATTGAGAGCAAAACTGAAAAAACCGCTTCCTCCTTCAAATATGGAAAATAAAGTGAAACTACAACACTAAAATATTATAATTTTAATTGAAAAAGATTGATATAAGCAATGTAAAGCTTAAATTTATATTTAAACAAATTGTAGTGTACAAAGAATATCAAAGGTTTAAAATCGCTCACTAATTTAAAAATGGCAAGAATGTACAACAATCACATCTGCTCTGCTATACAGATCTTAGATGTGATCATTCTTTACATTAAGTTTTCTTTTTCTTTTTTTTTTAAGATGTGATTTACCCTGCCCCCCCTTATGTGATATAGAGCCATCAGGGCTGTCTTTGTGGTTACAGTCTTTCTATGCTGAGAAATGTATCGGCATCACACGTTTTTTATAGCACAAGACACCATGAGGATTGGACAAACTAATACTCTTTTGCCTGAACAGCGCTGGACCCGTCTGTCAGTAGTCTTAATAACCCTTATAACAGGTATGTGTGTGAGAGAGTGTATGTGACTGTGTGACACACAGAGAGAGATTTGCTGTTTTGTTGTTGTTGTTGTTGGTTTTTTGTTTTATATAGGCTATGCTACCGATTTTTTGTGAGGTGTTTTTGAACGGAATCTCTTGTGCTCAACAAGGTGGCATTTTTTAAAAATCATAAATACAGTAAAAACACTAATATTGTGAAATATTATTACATAATAAAATAACTGTTTTCTTTTTAATATTTTAAAAAATGTAATTTATTCCTGTTATGGCTCAGTTGAATTTTCAGCAGCCATTACTCCAGTCTTCAGTGTCACATGATCATTCAAAAATCATTCTAAGATGCTGATTTGGTGCTCAATAAACTTTTTAAAAATTATTATTATTATTATTATTATCAATGTTGAAAACAATTGTGCTGCTTAATATGTTTGTGGAAACCATGATGCATTTTTGCAGGATTCTTTGATGAATAGAAAGTTCAAAACAACAACATTTATTAAATATTTCATAACAAGTAGAAGACTTTACAGTCACTTTTAATTAATTTCATGCATCCTTGCTGAATAAAAGTTTTGATTTCTTTAAAAAAATTTAATTTAATTAAATCTTACCGCCCTTTTTAAATGGTAGTGTATTAATCTTGTGATGAATATAATGAAAATGTACTTTAATGACCTCTTTAATGAAAAAAAGATTTAAGGAAACTCAGTTAGATACAGGAAGAGAAAGCAAACACAGGTTCAAACGCAGCTAAAATAAAGAACATTTACATTTACTGATTCATTAGGTGTGCTATTTTTATATACTGTTTAAAAACTGATATACTAATCACACTAAAAAAAACAAACAAACATAATTTCTGATAAATTATGAAAATTGTTGTTTGGACAATTACATGGTTCTTTTTTTTTGCACTTCTTTGTGTTTGTTTTTCACAGGGGCCTTGACAGATGAAGATGTGATTAGAGCTCTGTTGGGTGGAAGTGCGTCTTTTAACTTAAAGGTTACAAGTGGCATGACAGTAACCCTAGCTGTATGGAACAAGTGTCCGAATCAGAAGGTTTTTGTGTTCAGCCCTGACCATGGACTTACAATATTTGACAGCAACTATGCTGGTCGTCTTTCTGTAAAATCAAATCACAGAATTATACTGGACAAATTACAAGAGAGTGACTTTATGACTTACTGTTATGAACTCACCACTTTCCCGCATGGGAGTCTTCAAGGACAAATTAAGCTAGTGAAAACAACAGAAAATGGTGAGAATATTTATTTTATAAGACATCTTCCTCAACATAGCACCAGGCATATTGCCGGTTAGCTAAAACTAAACCCATTTTTGTTATTACAGATGATATTTTTATTTATACAGAAATATAACCATTTTATGGCTGTTTACCTTAGTCACACCCATATATGATTATCATTTAAGATTTAGAATCAAGTATGAGGGACTCGACACAAAAGAGTCTTACAGCACTTTTCTGTTCAATAGTTAACCACTACTGGAAAGTATTCAATAAAAACTATACTCAACAATAACAAACTCTTTCTTTGTTTAAAAACAAAAACATAATACCCATAACATACATCTGAATCAAATGCGTCCTAAAGCTCTGACAGACTTCTTCGTGTGAGTGTGATCTGTGAATTTATGTTTAAAGATTTGTTTTTGCATATTCTCACAGGTTTTTTTTTACTTTGTTGTAACTTTATAATTTGAGTATAAATTTAGTGATGCTTGTTTATGCATAGGCATGAATTTGTGCAATAATAAGAAACAGAAAAAAAAATGAAACATTCTTTTAATCTTCTCTCAGGTGACATGCGCATCATGATAGTCTCTGTGGGTTGCAGCATAGGTTTAATAGTATTATGTGGAATCATCGCTGGAGTGGTTTGCTATAAGGTAATAATTCCCAAACTCATCCACATTCTAAAGAACAAAACAGAATCCACTGAATTCAACGCAACAACATATGACTGAGTGGTTTTGTGAATGATTACACAGAAATGCATTCTGCTTATGTTTCATGAATAAGGACCAATCTGTGTGCCACACTTCTTAAAAAGAAGTCTTTGAATGTATTCTGCAAATGTGTTTTAGTAACATCAGGTTTCATGTTTCATTTGATGTTTAGAAGAGGAAAAGTAACTCCGCAGACACTGCATTGCAACCTGGAGGTCTTTCTGGCGGTCAGTCCTCTGTGCGGCTGAAAAATCAGAAGCGACCCAAGCGCATACGCTCACAGAATGAAGAAGAGGTGGAGACTGAAGACTTCAGTTACCTGAATATTAACTAACCTAACACAGTATGTCTATAATGAATATTACTAGATTTACAGATGCAGATCATTTTTTTAAATATAATTTTTGCTTTTAATAATAGTCAGAAAAACCCCATGGGGAAAATAATCCCATGTGGACTGGTATATGCACACTAGTTTTTGGTATATGCTAGCTTTTAAAATAAACATTCTTACATAAATTTTTATTGTGTAATATACTATTTTTTTTTTTTGTCTGTGGCAGTAAACGTTATGTCCCTTTCTTTTGTTTTTGTTTTTGTTGTTTATGTTGTTCTTTTTCCATCATAATAACTTAAGAAAATATGATTAGGATGATAAGATGTTTATTGGCAGTTGAGTTTTAGTCATTGATCTGGCCTCAGTCAGATCAAAAGCAAGTCGATGTTAACATCATTATACTCTAGCTGAGTTGCAATTATGATTAAAGTCTCCTTTGTTGCCTGAACTGTTTCATGTAATGATCACTGTAAATTGCCGAAGTCAGAAGTGTAAAAAAATCAGCTTAATTCGTCCTACCAAGATGCATTACCTTTGCTGTTCA